CAACCAACAACAGAATCAACAACAAGCACCAATCACCATCAACAGAAGAAATCTAAAGGAAGTAGTCTCTTTCACCTACATACCTAGGCAGCATCGTTTCAACTACAGGTGGCGGCAGCGGCGGCACAGATGAGGATGTCAAAGCTGGTCGGGATCGGAAAGACAGCAAGACAGGCGTTCATTATTCTGAAAGCAGTGTGGAGATCTACTGCACTCCACTGCACTCAACATAAAGAACAGGATCCGCTTTTTCGACAGTAATGTCAAGTAAGTTAATGCTTCTATGTGATGGTTGAGGGACTTGGCGCGTTATGAAAAGCATTTCCAACAAACTACAGACATTCATCAACAGCTGCCACCTACACTCACTCGATGCTGAAGATCAGATCAGATCAGATGGGCAGAAAGAATAAGGAAGAAGGAACTCTGGCTGGTTGGTTGGCTGTCAACGAACCATCCAGGAACCCATCGCCCAACAAATATGCAGAAGAAAGTGGAGATGGATTGGATTTGGCATACACTGAGAAGACCGATTGGGGGCATCACGCGCCAGGCCATGCCGTCGAGTGGAATCCACAAGAGAAACGATGTGTTTGGTTTCCGAGGGTGACATGGAGGGGATGATATGAGGAAGAAATGAGAGCTTGTGGGCAGTCGTGGAGCCAGGTTGGAAAGACTACAGAGAAAAGAGTGCAGTGGAGTCCTATATTCCACTAGGAACCCAAGGGGCAAATGATAACAATAATTTGTATTTACTCATTGTAGGATGTTAAACATTTGGTCTCAATACATCCTAGCACTAGATGGTGAAATGGAATCTGTCATGACATCAATGAAGATAAAGGGAGACTTACAACTAGAGGAGTTATATTTAATATGTGTAAGCACCTGTGCTATGATGATTAGGAAACTGTCTTGTTACACAAGAAAACTGAAGTAGTCTACTAAGATTTACCCCTAGCTTTTCTTATTATTTTGATGAACACTGAATAGCAAAATCTAGATATTTATACAATTTCATTGTCTGATAGGTATTCAAGACGGGATTAATTTATTCAAGATATTTGAGTAGTAACAGTTGCGAAACGGTAAAAAGATAATACTAGTCAAAAATGTGAAAAACTAATCATTGATTTATCATTGCTGTATAAAATAAGACATTAATCTGAAAGATTTTAACAGTACGAAGTGATGATATGTTCTAAAACGAGTTGACGTCAAACGCGTTGCAAAATCATTGAATATCTAGGACGTTGGACACTGCACCGAATTTTAGACCACATATATATATTGATAGATTTAGCACATCCATTCAATGAAGAACGTTCATTTTCGGGAAAATATTTTTCGAAATGTTCACTATCCATATTATTTTGAAGGTGTTTATATTTTCCCATAATTCATGCAGTAATTAACCATCTAGTTGTGCTCTAGAATCCAGATTTATCTATTAATATTTAATCAAGTGGATACTGTGGCCAAAGTTTGCACAACAGGTGTGTCAAACAACCAAATTCACAAGCCTGTGAAGGTTAAAGAGTTTTATGAGTCACTATTTCCTAGCTGTTAAAGTGTTTGCCCCACGTTTACCTATCATCAACTTCGGTCACAATCAGTTCCTAAACCCACTAGGAGTTAATACTAAACTTTTTAAATAATCATTACTGTCAGCATAATGCAGAAGAGATTTTCAGAATAAAGCATAAATAAAAATGATGATATCTGGTGATACACAATAATATGAAGAGTATTATGGAATACGCTTTAACAAGTGTCACAATTCATCATGATACTTAAAGCTTAGTCAAATACAATGAGTCATCTCTATTAAATAATATGTATCAGTCTCTATGCCCGCACATTGTGTCATTACTTTCTGTGCATTCAGTTGTTAATAGAGTGCATGGAAAGCGTAGATACACAGTCAAATACTTAGTGCCTTCAAGGTTCAGATGAAGTGGTGACAGCGGTATTTTCATTGTCTGCGCAGTAGTTGGTTGGAATTACGTTTGCACTCCCTCTTACCCTTGTGAAAATTAGTTCTGTTTGCTTTGGTATGATGAAAATACTTCTGGACAAAACCAAGAGTGTGTATTTAGATGCGTTTAAACCGTTATTTTATGAATATAATCATGTCAGATGTGAAAACAAATGCTCAGCGACGGCTTTCGATGAAGGTCGAGCTATATCGCCGGTTGACGGAAGTAGGAAAATGTGGAAGATTGGGTTCTGACCAAGTGGCTTAATGGTGGCATGCTCTCTTCGGAACCTGGAGATCCTAGGATTGGTCCTTGACTGCCGAGAAGCTCCACACTAGGACAATACACCTGTCTAGTGCTCCTAGGTTTCCAGTGTTTTTCCAACCGTTGTTAGTGCGGGATGAATACCAAGTTATTGCAATTCCCTTATACAGTGTACATCTGTAAGATGTACAAAGCGTCAAGGAAACGAATGTTTCCAAACGAAATCAATATCTAATAGTTTAAATGAACGACAGATACCCATGAAGGGGGACGGTTTCTTGTAATACCAGGAGGCCAGATCAAACAAATTCTTCGCAGAAAATTGCTTTTTCTCTCATCATGACACCAGCATATTACACACAGCAAAATGGTCAAGCATCTAACATTATATTTTTCTTGTTTGGCGCCAAAAATCTGAGTCTTAAGCAAGCCTCTTGATGGTATTAAATGCCATTTTGCTAATCTCATTTTCTATCGGTACGCTGAAAATAATAATGTTTTTTTCTGTGGGATAACCTCACCTTCAACCTTCACTAGCCTTTACCTTAGCTTGTTTTCTAATTATATAATTCTCTTGGTGTTGTTCTTGTTTTAGGCCACATAGAATTCGACCATTCCTACTCTAGTGACATTTGTAAATGCTTCTTACCGATTATCCTTAATCTTTAAAACTGAAATTTTAATTTGCAAGGTTGTATAACGTCTTACTGAATACGTAACAGTCGATGGGTTGTCTTTCCCTACTCTAAATGTTCATTCACTATAATGAAATGTTTTCATTGACATCGCTGCACAGTGTAACTCAGTAGAGATAATATACTGCAAATTATTCAGCAACTGGGACTAGAAAGTAGGCAGTGAACTACGTGTTAGTTCCATCTCAATAATAACTTGGATTCTCATATATTTTGCTGCTCAGTGTTACCAAAAATGTTTTATGTTTTCAGAGAATTATTTTCCGTGTACACCAGTAATTTATTAGTGAATGTTTTTCGTAGGAAGAATATCCAATCTTATCAAGCCATCATGATGAACCTATTTACAGTTAACCGATATTTTGGTTGACGATACATAAGTTTGTAAGTTTTTCCTATCTGAATTCCCAGTCTAGAAAAACCTTGTGTAGAATGTTCATTCTGTCACTGTAGTCTTCACAATTTCATGTTTTGGTCAACCTATATCATCTTTACTTTCTATCTCCACTTAAAATATTCTTGTTGATTTGTAGAAGTAGGTTGTGCAACACGGTTTTTTTAAATTATAAATATTATATTCTATAGGTTTTAAAGCAGTTGAAGAGAAATCATGACTTACATGCACGCCAATTCTGCTACTATTGTTGTTCTTACTTTATTCAAAGAGAGAACTTTTCCATTCTGATTTTTGAAATGCTTATCTCATTACTTATGTAAAGTGCAAAACAAACTAAAACGGATCAAGTATGCACAACCTCACGATAATATTACAGCCCTTACCATTTGACACCAAGACGCCTTCTCATGAGTCAAAATGTGCACCACCACTATGTTCTTCCAATTATGCTGTCCTAGTAATTATTTTTATTATGAATGTAAAGAAGAGTTACCAGGTCAAATAAGAAAGCTCAAACACACTGTCTGTTTAAAACAGAAGAAATAACATCACTGTATGCTCTTGTAATATCTGAGGTATATGTGTACAGATTTTTGATAATGGTTGCGGACTTTACACAAACATCTCACACTATATTGTAGCTTGTCTGAGTGGGGACGACGTCACATGCTGAGAGGCAGGTACGTCCAGCTGATGATTCCCAAATAGGACGAAAGACGCATCCTTGCCACTATCCAGCATCTATCACACTGTTTAGAATTTGACTCTTATTCGACAGAACTAAAGCAACTGTTTGCAGTCCACCTACGGTATGAAGAAGACTCTTAACATTTCCTGAGGTTTGATTTCCTAAGCGGTTGAAGAGATATACAGCTGAAAGACTCACATAATAATCAAGCAGATGTCTTCCAAAGATATTTGCTATTACTGCTTTCTTTCAAAGTAACTCTACACATTTGTTCTACTATAATATATTGAATTATCCAGTTAAATCAGTTGAGTCAGCAGGGGAAATTTTCATTTGGAACTTTAGGGTTCAAGTCTTTTCTCCAATTGGGACCAGTTAAATAGTTCAATAATTACCGTAGTCCCAGTTCTTGGGATAGAGAACAGACGACGTGATTTTCGAATAACACCTGGCTTTCATTAGTCCACCAGTCAATGGTTGTCTTGATGAAAATCATAATTTCCAGTGATATAATTTTTCAGTATTTATTTCTCCTTATTTATCTGTGAACTTTCCTCTGGATTTTTATCAGTGCCTAACAATGGGATTATTGACCGTGATTACAAGTTTCACCCGAGAAGAGCAACACTCGTTGATGGCTAAAAACGATCGTCTAATCTGTCAAAAATAGGACAAAAAAGTTGTGCTGCATCCCACTGATAGATTTTCTTGATCCCCACAATCAAAGTAACGTTTCTATCAATGCTGAAGTGTCTGTCTGGTCCAGAGCAAAAAATGATAAAAAAAATAAGTTATAATGTCAAAGCAAGACAGTATATGTATAAATACATAGTCTGAATAAAAAGCCTGCCATGGTAATGTTACAAGTACATGTAATGACTTATTTTCAAAGAGAAAAGCACAATCTAGATATTGGCTTCTTTTAGATAAGAAGCAGGTCTATAGATCGTTATTGTTATCATTAAAAGGTTACTTACTCATACATTCGTCTTCCCCACTGCCAACTTAAATGATCAGAATATTGACACAATTTAACAGGTCTAAGTTTTTCTAGAATTTGCTTAAAGTAAATCAGTGTATCTTTATTCGGTGTGTCAATCTGTATTGATCTGTCTGGTGGATAGATTTGTGTTAACTGATAAATTAATTCAATCATTGATTTTTGCCAAACTTCACGTGCTATTTCAGCACTACGTTTACGACTACCATGATCATTCAGACATATTAATCCTAGGTAGAGATAATAAAAAACATAAAGAAGACTGAATGAGTTGATAGTGTCTAAACATAAAGTCAAACAATTTTATGAGATGTATAACTTTTAATCAGTGGTCAATAAAAAGATGCCTAGCCATCTGTTTGAATCTTCCATGATCTGTGTTAAAGCAAAGTCAGGCAAATGTTTTCAGGCAGAATGCCTTGAGATTACAGCCACTGACTAGGCATGGAAATCAAACCATAAAAAGTAAACTGGATATCTGTTTTAAAACATTTCAAAGCGCACTGAAGCGTTAAATTCACCTCTGCAGATTGGGGTGTAGTCTCGTCATGCTGAATATACCTCAACAACTGGATGCAAAGACACTTTTGCATATACAGCAGCTTTCTACCGATCAAAAACAGCGTTGATCAGAAAGTCCTATGACGATTTCTTTTTACAGCATTACAACATAAACACACAACCCTGAAGTTTGAAGCGATCGCTCCCGAGTTCGAATCCCGGCGGGAACAACATCACTCAGTGGGAGGCAGGTACATCCAGCTGACGAGTCCTGAATAGGACCAAATGCGCATCCTGGATTTCACTGCTGGCCATTATCCATCATTAGGAAATGGTGTTGTAAAAGTAGTCTTTTGAAGAGCTATGACAACAGTTTCACGATATGTTGCTTATAAATTTGAAGCAAAGACATTTACGGTTGAACGAATAGTTAGCCAAGATAGAGTGGCGACAACATCTAAGTTTCCATACACACATACACTGATAAAATGCATCAATAGTGTTTTATTAATAATAAAATAGGTTTATCTTTTCGCGATAATAGATTCCTACTTCAATGATACATCATACAAGTTCTTCAGATAGGCATAAAACGCACAAATCAAAACAATATTAAAAGGTGAGTAATTTCCAGAAGGAAACTGATATTCATCCTGTTTTGTGCATGCTTTCTGCTTTCCTGAATATCATTCAATTGATTATGATAAAGAAGGTAACAGCTTACGTTAATCTATTCCTTTTCCTTTGGTTTCATGGTCTGAAGATCAAAGGCTAAATGGCTTCTCTGCATCAAAACTGAAATGTGAAGATAATTAGTCCAACTAAATAGGTCCAGTGATTTTAAGGTGTTTTCAGTGTGACTACACTTGAATTGACATGTATGCCAAAAGAGCTTCAAATTATAGAAGCCTTTCACAGTTTGTTAATAAAACTGTTATTCATAGCTGAGCGGAACCTTTTGCTGACCTGTCACTAAAGTGAATTTGAGGCATTTAAGTACCTGACTGTGTAAATGAATAGATTGGTAGGGGTCATAAAACTTACCGAAATATTACTCTCAATATTATCCTGCCTCGGCTAGTCACAAGATTATTGCGATATCAGTCACTTTAAGGGTAATCAACTTCTCATTAAAAATAACAGGCGGAGTCTCATGAAAAAATGCTTTTCTATTTTTATCTTGCTAAAAAGAAAACAATGACAAAGATGTAGATAGTCTAATCTCATCGTAAAATAATTCAATGACAGTGAAAATCGATTTCATTCCTTCGTCAGAAAACATCTGTTAAAGCTAACTTGGGGAAATATGGCACAAAATGTTGTTATGATTCGGGGAAAAGTAACTGAAATTGGCTCTGGAATTTATTACATATATATATATATATATATATATATATATATATATTGATCGACAAATCTATGAAAATATTACTTTCTTACATATGGTGTGTGGGACAGAAGAAGAATATTCAGTTAGAAAAACATCTTCACAGTCCTTCTGATAGGTTTCAGCATTCATTACATACAATACTCTCCGATGAAAGTTTTCTTTCAAAAGTATTTCTCCATTTGACATTATATTAATTCATTTTCGTCCATCTGTAACATAGAACTAGTAATATACTCTAAACAGGGCTATATGTGATGGCTTTATCAGCTGAAAAATGCTAGTGATGGAACTAGTTAATCAAGCGTCAAATACTTTATTCTTTGGCATCACATATCAGGGACATACTCCGAAACTTTACTACTAATTTAGATTCTTGGGTGAAAAGTGATTTGGAAGTCTAGTTTTAGCTAGTTCAATATATAAACTATTCATTTTCAAACAAAACACTAAAATCTACAGTAAGATTGCTTCTATGCTCCTTTCATACTTACTCAAGTATTGTACAGTCAGTTAATTTACTTGTTGGCAGTGTACAACACGTAGAAGTGCATATGAGAGATTTGGGGAAGCTGAGGAACATAGTACAGTTATAATAATGGAGTCTGGGAAACAGGATGCCCTTCATACTTTAAGGTAAATATTATTGTACCACTATATTGTATGTCTTAACATAGTGTTAATGGTTTTTGCTAAGTAAGTGAAACGGACTACATTTCTTCATTGACTGACTTTCTGTTAATAAACCCACATGACCTTTAGACACTGAAGTTTAACTAACAAACGATAGTTTCTTTTAATATATACCAAATAAAAAACAAATTATTTCTCAATGTCTTCATTTAATTGTTTCAGTTCTAATCAAACAGCTCGTATTAACTTGCTACATTTGTTGTTTCTGGTGCTGTTCAATTCAAGAAAATAAGTTAGTTTATGAAGAGTCCTAAAAATGAAAAGGCTTTAGTGACTACCAAATCTGTAGAGAGGATTCAGTGGAGGCTAGAGACATATAGTTACTTGTAGAAATTAAAAAAACAGTTGTCAAACCATTTTGGCAAAATATCATCCTGAAAACAGCTTTGACTCTAAGTGGGCCATCGTAAATAACGAAAAGCAATATGTGATCATAATTCAAATTAAATTTGGGGGGTTTGTGGGGATTTAGAGATGTTTCAAGTTGGTAATCATCCTTGACTGACATCATTTGGAGGAAAAGTGGAAACCTGGGAGCACTGGGCAGCTGTCTCATACTAGAATGAGACTCAGCAGTGCATGCCCATGACCCCACCAGGGATTGAACCCATGACCTTCAGGTTCCGTGGTCCGCACGTTACTGTTGAGCCAATTGGTTGGAATCCAACGGTTTATAGCGCAACCATCGCTCAATGTCGTCGCTGAGTGTTTCTCCTCATGTACACTAGGTTTGCTCCACCGGCCACGACTTCTCAAGAGTCACCTTTCGAAGTTAGTCACCAATGAGCACTAGATTAATTCAAATTGAATTTACAACAGTGTTGAGGCACTAGGTTGAGATTCAATTATCCATGAACTCTGATCATGGTGTATCAATGAAAGAATGCGAAAAAACAACAACAAAAGATCCTCACTACTTTTGTGCAGATTCGTTAAATAAGTCTGTGCTTTCCAGACGTGAACGTTTTATGTCTATACCTAGGAGATTCTAATTTATTGGCATTATTTACACTGAAAAATAATCTCTCATATAATGGTAATCATATGTACATACATTAGTGATACATACCAAACATTCCGGGAATTTTTTTAAACATTGTTGATTCGGCAAGGACATTATTATCTGCTGAAACTTTGTCCTGATTATCTGCTACCGTAAGTGAACTCATTGTAGATGGTGTAAATATCCATACATAATCCTCACCAAACAACGCTTTCAAGTGTTCATGTTTCGTTCCGTTCAAACTATCTGCTATATACAGTAGTGTATTTAAATCAAAGCTGAAAGTGAATGAATTGTGCAAATAAAATTATAATTTTGCTTTGAACAAACATCAAAATAGCAATGTAATTTAAATACTAGGTAGTATTTCTTTCACTGGTAAAAAGGTTGCATAGATATTCATATAGTTTTGATGCTATCTGGAAATTAGAATTGACTTTAGGTTAGCGTTATGTTCACTTGGAATTACGTCCAATGACATATTATTGTAGATCCTTTGGCCATCTATTTAGACAACAAGTCTTTTATCCCACAAAAGAATCTCCACCAATCTTTTTTATACTTACATGGAAAGATTGCTTTTAGAAGGGTTATATCTGAGTGTTACTTTTCAAAGACTTGCTCATTGTCCAGTAATTTAAGACATTCTGCTGAATTCTTATATGAATCATTCTATTCCACTCTTCAAGATGTTTACCTTTCAATGTAGGCTTAAAACGAAGGGTTTTTCCCGAACACATTAGATGACATCATTACATTTTTTTGTAGTAGCTTCATTACCCTAAGTGTATTTTGTTAGTTGGTTGGAGGCAATCGGCAGGAAGCCATGGGTCTAGGTTTCGTGCTTCTTGGCACTCGTCAGCAAGGCGTATCTGCAACCTCGATGGAACTGATGTCCCGCCTGAGATGCGAACCCGCGTCACCCAGTGTTGTAGTCAGCGACTTTACCACTAAGCTATTCGGGCCACGACTGACCTCCTTTAGGACTGGCTTACATGTATTGATTGGTCACGGGAGTGCAACCAATTTCATGTTCTCTAGTGTCGAAAAGCACAAAACCTAGGTCCAGGGCTTCCTGCCGATTGCCTCTAACCAACTAACATCTACTTATGTGGACTACGATACTGAGATTCCTAGCTTGGTTGCCACATTGCAGACATGATCAATAGAATTCGGTCTGCAATCAGGACTAGACAACATGAAATTGGTTGCACTCCCGTGACCAATCAATGTAAGTGTATTTTGTTCTCCGCTTGCAATTAGCTAACGTTTCTAAAGTATGATGAAATACTGTCGTTGATCACAGGATCATCCATGGGAACTAAGTACTATGACTACAGACTAAGAATTAATACCAGTCATAGACATCAAGTGGTCACAAGAAAATATATACCTTCTCCATCAGTTAAGTAATGGCAAGTGACTGATTTATGACAGTTGCGTCCGAAGTAACAGTCATATTCTTTGGATCAGTGTGAGGAATAGGCCAGTTTTTGAGAAACAAGAGCACCAAACATTATGGGATGAATCAAATTCATTTCGTGCGCTCTAGATTTTCGCTTTATATACTAAATTTAAAAAATCGTGAACAGTAAGCTGTCAGTGTCCAGTATGGGTCATTTAATATATTTTGGTAATAAAACCAGCACCAAATATATCGAACATCCCATACCATGAATTCACTCAACAGCTTTCACAATTAATTGAGTTTATCAGGAAAGAGGTAGCTGTTCATAATTTGAAGGATAGTTTTGAAATTTTTAGTAGGATTAGTACTAACAAAGATCATGTTTCCTCAGACGTAAACTCATCATTCAGGAAAGTGTCACTTGAAGAAACAATAAGCATCTTATAGAGTTACGCTGACGTGATAAACTTTTCACCTAACAAACTGACAGATTTATTGATTTTATGAGCAGAAAATGTGAAATTCCAATTTGATGGTTCGGATTACAGATAGGCTGAAAGTATAGGTATGAGCAGTCCCCTTGGTCCTGTATTTGTAGATATATTCCTAAACCACTTGCAGAATACTAAATTAAGTGATAAACTTGTATTTAAGATATATAGACAATACGTTCATCATATGTGAGAGAAAAACATCTAAGGTCTTTCATTTCAGTTCACTTAGACGTGTAATTCATACGTGAACATGTAACGTTGAATGGAAGTAATTTTTTAAACTTGATTATCGCAACAATTGAGGATGGTTGGATCCTATTAAGAATCTATCATAGACCCACTTGAACAGGTAAGTATGTGCCGTTTTTAATGAGAGAAGTCTTGACAAGATTTCGTTTTCAGAGTAATCAGATGATGTTTCAAATAAAGTAATCAAAATGAATTTGAAAAAAGTTGGGAAAACTTTGTTGTATGATGGATATTCTAAAATATTTATTAATAAATACTTTAAATTTAAAAACGAGAAATTGATTAGAAGAACTGCACTGAAAAAGAGCGTGCTCATTACAGTACTACTAAAAAGCGATGAATGGAGTACACAAAATAATCGCCCATTACTCAGTGAGCTGCAAACTTGAAAGTTATCCATATTATCAAGAACATGCTTAGAGAAACTCATTTATATTTGATACTTCCACATGTTACCCCCGGTGTTATCTGTTGGTTTATTTGTACTTAAAGTATTATATGTGATAAAAAGGTTAGAGTCCTTACTAAAGGAATCTGTGAACGTATACTGAAAAGCTTGTCATGGAGAGGTGCAAGGCTACCTGACAGGGACGTTGGTAAGTACATCCTCGATACAGGTCATGCTGTTGACTCAAACACAGATTCAAGCTAATCAGTAAGGAAAGTAATGGTACATTGCTGTGTTATCCCCGCCTGTATTGATGATATGTCGATCATATACCCTAATTATATGCGATAATTCAAGTCAGTTCAGTTGTAAATTGATTGGTGAAGCGCAGGTTAGCATATCCTTGACATGTATAGAAGAAGACGATGGGTACTTGCCTTTCTTGGGCATATTAGTCGACAGAAGGATGGATCTATGAAGCAATCTACGACGGTAAACCCACATGAACAGGGTGATATTTACCTAGTACAGTGCAAGCGAGCATTAGTTAGGTGCTTATTTAGAAGAACTCAACGAATGTGCACAGATGGTACTTTGGAAGACAGGACAAGAAAACTGACTGAATGACTTTTGGAAAATAACTATAAATGAATATTTATTAGCCTGCACAAAGTAGCCATAGCGCCGAGATCTGCTCTTCACTCCATACACGGGTGCCTCTCACAGTGGAATCCTTAAGCACAGAATTTACGGTACTATTAGAAAGATTTACGATACAGCTAGAGTCCTACTGATAAAAACAGCCTAACTTGTATACTCTCTCAAACCCTTAAAGCATGTTAACAATAGTGTCGCATTCCATTGCACCTACTAATTCAAATGTACGTGTGGTGACACATACACAAGAAGGATCCATAGTATCTAAAAATGTGTTGGTGATGGATCTTAAAATTTTACGAAGTCTTAGCTATCAGGAATTTTCAGTTGTTTTTGTGTGTAAAAAGCAACCTATTATCACGTTAAATCTCCCTTGACGAATTCAACTCTGAAATCAAGTTCTATGTATTATTATTTTCGCCCTATCGATTTTCATTGTTATTTGGCCTTTAACTTAACTTTCCTGCTTGACCTCTTTACTATTCTCACTCTTTACCTTCACATAAATTCTCAAATAAATATTAGTGACTTTAAATGCCACCCTAGCAACTGTTGAAATGACTAACCAGGGTTTGGTATTTCGCCTGGAGAGTATTTTTCCATAACATAAGGGAATCTAATTGGCTCTCTCATCAGTTGCTAGTGTGGTCTTTAAAGTCACCCTATAAATATATATAACAAGTACATGTGTGATCAGATTGTTCCAAATGTGTAGCGCAAATACTATTCATACCTCCATCACTTTCGACTTACTTTAATTCATAATATCTTAATCATGGTTTTTCAGCATATCCTTTCATTATTCATAAACACTCACACACACCATCTTTGCTGTCCTCCTTTTTTTGTCAGATTTCCTGCCACCCTGAACTGTAATCATACACCTGTACTACTATCATATGAGATTCTTTATTTCCTGTTTACACTTCCATTTTATGGTCTCATGTATCATACTAAATCATCCTTATTCCCTGTATTGGTTGATTAGGTCATGGAGTTTGCAGTTCATATTTGTTTCCTTACATATTGATGTCTGGATGTGCAAGATACATTTGGTGATTTAATTACTGAAATGTATCAAATGACACATACTGCAAGGTTAATGGGTGACTTTAAAGATAACCCTAGCAACTGATGAAGTAGCCAAATAAATTCCCTTATTTAACAGAAAAGTAATTTTCCAGCCAAATAACAAAGCCTGACTGGTCACTTTACTAGTTGCCAGGGTAGCTTAGTGCGTGTGAATTAAACTCGAATTATGCTACAGTTTTTGTTCTTGCCTTGGGAAAATTTATGGAGGGAACTAACTAGGTGAAGTAAGCTCAACTGACCTAATCTTGTGATACACTGTCATAGACACTGGGTTTTTCAAGGTCAGGTTATTAGGTGATAAGGTCATTACGATTCTAGGAAGAATACGGTGATTGTAGGTTTTGCACACTATACTCCTGAGTGCCAGTAAGCAAAAAGCTTAGATCAAGTAAAGATTTCTGCTTAGTGCTTCTATGCAACCAAAATCATACCAAGCATCATATATATGCATATATTATTTCTAACTGACAAACAGATGGAAGGACAGTAAAATTCTTTTCTCTACATGCATACACTGGTGTTATTTTGAAAAGTTGTTCATGGATATACTGAGTTTTAGTAAACCATTTAATTATCACTATTTGTTGATATACTTGTACTTCTACGTTGTTATACTGGATGGAATTGTTCGACCCCTATTGCCATGTAGGCTCCTGTGCAAACGCCTCGATATTACCTAAATATTTGTTATGATAATTTACTTGGTTGTGGCTAACAGAGGAGCCTAGAAGGCGCGTTTCGTCCTATTTGGGACTCGTTAGCTGAATGTACCTGCACTCTAGTTATTTATGTTGTTCCCATTAGGACTCAAACCTCGTCAAACGTCAAGGCATTATCCCCTAGGCTCCTGAGGTACAACGGTACGAGGTTCGAGTTCCAGTGAGAACAATATCACTCAGTGGGGTGCAGGTACACCTAACTGATGAGTCTCAAATCGGACGGAACGCAAGTACTGGATTCCTCTGCTGGTAAGTTATCTAATCATCACTT